TGACTCTTTCATTAAGCATCGTTAAGTTTTTTTATTATTATTACTTTTATTTAGCAAAGATGCATCAAATTGATCAATCGAAGACTTTTCCATTGTTACAAAAAAAAAAATTCTCCTTCAAATAAACACTGTTCTTTTGAGCTTTATATTTATCAAAGAATCCTGAAAAATGGTTTCCACAAACATATTAAGCAGCACAACTGTTTTCAACATTGATAATAACAAGAAATGATACATGATCGGCAGCATATTAGAATGATTTCTGAAGGAACATTTGACACTGAAGACTGGTGTAATGGCTGATGAAAATTCAGCTTTGCCACAGGAATGAACTGCATTTTAAAATATTGTAAAAATAGAAAAAAAAGTTGTTTTAAGCTGTACTAACGTTTCACAATATTACTGCTTTCACTTTTTTAATAAAAAAAAGCAGACTTGGTGAGAAAAATCAATCAATTCTATAATTGATATATATGGATTTATATATGATATAAATGGAACTCATTTGATACATAAAATGAGTTCCATTTTCCAAGGCAAATCAATCAGCAAGTTTTACAGAAAATTATTAAAAAATAAATTCCAAATCTCCTGCTACACCCAGTGCACAATCATTAAAGGCCAAAGGTACGCAGATGAGAAGAAAGTCAATGAAGAAGATTAGAGACGTGTAGGAGAAATGAAAGGAGATGAAGTGAGCAAAAAGAGGAAACAATTATTAACATACCACATCAAACACTGTTCCTCCCATCAGATCTGAACGGTAGATGCATCTACTTGCTGAATTTAGTGCCACCATATGGTTGCCGTTTCAAATCTGCAAGTTCATCTCATCTGGATTATTTTCATATTCAAAGCTATCAGATTGTTTCATGTGGAACTGGTTCGTTGAGTCTGTTGAAATTGCAGTATCTCTTTCATGTGAAATATGCTAGCTTTTGAAGTTTTCTTGTGTGGTGGGAATAGTAGATCAGCAAGATTAATAATATCCATCCACAAAAAGGTAGTCCGGTGGGTTTAACCCTGAGAACCGTCCATATGCATGGTATGAAAGTGTTTGTTATTTTCAGCTGTGACAGCATATGGCCCGGCTGTTTGTTAATATGGTTGCATTACTCATCTGAGACTCTAAAACTGACACATATTTTCATCCCCCTCTCCTTCTTCCTTTCTCAGCAGAAACGCAGCCCACAGTGCTGTGCGTTCACACGTCCAAACCTCCCCCGTATTACATCAAGACGAGACGCATAGATAGAACAGGGACTGCTGTCCTAAAGCCTCACCATCTTTGCAACAGCAATACCAGTGAAAAAACAAACACCTTGGGTATAAGACAAACAAACAAACAAGTCAACAATCTAACAAAACCACTTGCTTCATAAATAAGGCATGATTAAAACACTTTTTTGATAGATACCGAGCCATGTTATACATGAAGCTTGTTTGATGGCAACAGATAACAGACAGCATTTTGAGTTGCACTTGTATTTTATTCACATTTCTATACAGTATTTGTTTATCCCCACGTCTTACTACAGTTTCTATGCACCCTAATCTGAATGCAAATGATTGAAAAACATCAGGGTTTGGCTGAGGGATTTTTACGCAAGTATGCCAGCAGACGTGGATGGGGCTGTGAAAATGACAAGTTAGATGGTACCAACACAGATAAGACATCATTCAAAAGTTATGCCCTTTCTACACATTCCTGACTCATCCAGGCCTTAGTTATGTCTCCACTAGATTATTGCAGCTCACTTGTTTCTGGTCAGTCTGCATCTGTCATTTGTCCCCTTGAGCACAACCAAAACACTGCCTGCTGCCCGACTTGTATTCAATCTGCAAAAAAATTTCACACGCTATGCCTTTGTGGCAGGAATAAGACTCAAGACATTTCTGGCCTCCAGTGCTGCAGTCTCTTGTTGCCTGTGAGCTGTGATTCACTGAAAGTTGCTTTTCAATGTGAGAATGACCTCCCAAAAACAATCAACCACCAACTCACTGGCAAAAGGTCTGGGCTATCCTTTCAAAGCATACTGTTGAAAATAACAGTTAAAATAGTAATAATGTCTGCTGAAGCAGCACATGTTGTGTGTTTTTTTTTTTCTTTTTTTGGATGCTGGCATCCCACCAACAGGATTGTACGTCTTTCAGAATTGAATTCAGAAAGCCGTTTAAATTCCTGGAGTTCATTTGAATTGTGGATGAAGAATTACATTTGAATGTATAATTAAAATGAATTGATATTCAAAGAATTCATATACAAGATGCACAATTTCAGTTTGAATTTAAAGTAGTATAATTAAAACAAACTGAAATTCAAAGAAATGCATATAACCATGAAGCAAGAGTTTAAAAAAACAAGATCTTGTCCAAAAGTTTTGGATAAAAGTATAAAAAAAGCCTTGAATTAAAATATAGACTCTTGTTGCCTGTGAGCTGTGATTCACTGAAAGTTGCTTTTCAATGTGAGAATGACCTCCCAAAAACAATCAACCACCAACTCACTGGCAAAAGGTCTGGGCTATCCTTTCAAAGCATACTGTTGAAAATAAGTTTTGGAAAAAAGTATAAAAAAAGCCTTGAATTAAAATATAGACACAGACAGATAGACAGATAGACAGACAGACAGATAGACAGA